CTTACCCAAACCCCAAGCTGCCAAGATACTCTAGTAAGGAAAATATTTTCTCTGATGCTCAGTATCCTCCATTCAGGCTTAACATGTTGGGAGAGTGTTGAGGGGAAGACTTTAAATCTCTCTTTTTTTTTTTTCTGTAGCTACTGCAAACCAAAGCAATAGATTATGGCAACTATTATTATATTAAATATATATTTGTTGCTTAAAAACTAGACACAATCTAATTCTATAGATGAGCTGTGACAGCTGTCAGACAGGATTTATATATTCCTAGTTTGACTGTGAATCTACTACTTTTGACCTAGCTATAAAATACTTACAAATTCAGACTGTGCCTCTTCTGTTCCTGTGCTCAGCTTCTGTTCCTCTTAATATGCAAGCAGATGTCAAAGTGCAGATGCCAACAGGACAGAGAATTTCTGGCCATGGTGACTGTGTTGCCTGCCTGCATGATGAGTCTGAAGAAGTTGTGCTGTCAATCTAGCTGTGATCACCCACAGATTTTTTTGCTTTCAAAAGGGATACTGACAGGGAGTTTCTTTTCTCTTTATTTACACATAATCCTGAGACAATTATTACCTAAGTCAGCAGAACTTTGTAATGTATGTGTTACCCAGTAGCCTCAATATGTTACTAAGCTTTTTATTATTGGAAAAATAAACATTAACAATTAAATATGTTTTCATTGCATTTTAAAATATGATTACTGTAAACAGCTGACTGCTATTGTCACTCTATAGCTGAAGCCAGAAAACCCAGGTAACTGCAGAAACCATGGGGGACAAGTAGAATGGTGTGCAACTTGCATGGCATGGATTTTGAATGTTTTATTTTTAAAGTAACTTAGGAGTTACTTTAAGCTTTTTAATTATTTTTAAAAGCCATGAAAAAGGTCCATACAGCTTCTTGTACCACTTCACCTATTTGTTTTGTTTTGCTGCTGCTGGATTTGGTTAAAATTAAAATCTACTTAAAGATGAACAGTAGTATAGAGTTTTCATCTGATATTATAAATTTAAACATTATTACCCTGGATAACTTTATTATGATTGGCTAAATTGTCAGTATTGTATGTACCCATGATTAAATAACTACTCCACAGTTTTCTGGTTTCTTTGCATTGTATAAAAGATTTGGATGTCAATGAGAAAAGAGAGTGCTGTTGAAGCTTTGTTCCTTGTAGGAAGTTCTCTCAAGTACTTGGTAGATTTGTAATTCTCAGTTGTTATTCTGTGCATTAAATATTTTCATCCTCGGTTAAAAGAACTTGAGAAAGAAGCAAAATTACTCCATGTTCCCTCAATGTCAGAAGCGGAGACAAAGCCTGGGAGTCTTGAAAGGATGTATCAATTACTGCTTTAATGGACTCTGCTTTTGGATGCCGCAGCCAGCTGAGATTGTCCTTTATGCACATGGTAATGCTCTGAGAGTAGAATGAAAGCCACTGATTCTCATTTCAGGCTTAATGGTTCCATTACATCTCCTTTCTCATGGAGAAACCCTTAGCGTTTTCAAACTAGGATAGTTCATACCGCTGGGAGAACCTTAAAACTACCATTAGTCTTGTGTTAGATCTCCAGGGAACGCTTTGAATACCATGGGAAGCCTCATCCTCTTCAAAAGAGACCTGACACTGAGCAGTATCTGGCTGTCTTCTTGTATGTAATAGGGTGCCTGTGGGGCAGGAGCTGCTGCTTTAGTTTATATACCCTGTTTTTTGTCTTCTGTCTTTAAGCTGACCTATCTCTCTGTCTGACCATAAGTACCCCAGGAGTCCTTTCTCTTTCCTATTGCTCAGTGTTATCAGACCCAGCTTATCCTTCAACACAAGCCAACAATTTGCCCTTGCAGCAAAGGTGGCTACAGGTATCCTGGGTTGCATTAGGCGAAGCATTGCCAGCAGATTGAGGGAGGTGGTCCTTCCCCTCTGCTCTGTACTTGTGAGGCCACACCTGGAGTACTGTGTCCAGTTTTGGGCTCCCCCATATGAGAGACAAGAGACATGCTGGAGAGAGTCCAGCAAAGAGTCACTGAGATAATCAAGGAACTGGAGGACGTTCCTGCCCTCCTAGGAGGAGAGACTGAGAGTGCTGGGACTGTTCAGCCTGGAGATGGCTCGGGGTGGGGGGGTCCTCATCAATGTATATGAGTACCTGAAGGGACAATGTAAAAGAATGTTTTCTTCTTTTTCTACAAAGTACCAAGTGGAAATATCAAGTAGAAAAGCATATTTTTTGCTCTGTTGTATAGTGTCCATTCACACTGTTGAAGCCGAAATATTTTATTATTTCAGTATGGCCAACAGTTAATGCTACTTGGAAAGCAGCTATGAATTTTCCACTATCTAAAGCTATCTAAGCATGTTTTGTGACCATCTTTGTTCTTGCAACTGGGATGCATATAGCGCATTCCGGCTTATTGCAGGCTTGAAGTAACTTAAAGGACTACACTGTTGATCAAATATAACTGTGTGCTAATAGCAGATAGCTGTGTGCAAATAGGGACAGGAAGAGGGTGGCAGCTTTGGCTGGAGAGCATGTGTGTTTCTTTATGTAGTCTTTATATAACTCAGCGACCTGGCCATCTCTTCCCAAAGATGTTAACTGCCTGGGTGTGAAGGGCAGCTGTGTGCCACTCGGTCCAGCAGCTTCTTCCCTGGGGTCTGGGCCCACTTCACACCTCCAGACCTCAAGCACTGGCGGATCTTAAGATAACTGTACATACTGGGAAACTGAGCTCATTAGCTCAGGCTGAAGGTGGAGTAATGCAATGAGAGAATGGCCCAGTGACAGTGGAAACAGGTACTTAAGTGCATCTCTATGAGATCAGTTGCTCTGTGAAGAAATAACAAAAACTTAAAAAAAAAAATTTGAGTGCACTTACAGTGTGACAAATGACTGGAGAGCTTGTGTTTGATACAACATTTAGTGCAGTGTTGCTGGGCAGTGGAAGAAGCCAAAGCATCTTTTCAAGGATAATAGATCACAGATTATGTCTATTGGGTACTTTAGATGTCCTTTGAGGCTTTCAGGAAGTTCATCTGCAGACCATAGCAGAAACGAAGTTATTTTGATTGGTCTCTACTCAGGTGAACACTGGCGATCCATTGTAGCTGCCTCAATTTTTAAAATTTATTTATTTTTTTTTTTTAGGGGGTGGCATGTTATGTTTGCTTGCCTACTCTCAACCTGCCCATTTTAGGGCTGCTTCTCATTTCAGCACCACGTTCTTATTACAAATTACTCCCTTGGTGAGAGCTCTCTCTGTATCCTTTTCTATCCAGAGCCTGTAGGCTATGGAAAGACACCACATTCAGTTTTGCGCACACGCGTTGAGTTTACCAGGAGAAAAATCTAGTTCTGTACCTTCATTCACTTTCAATGCTTCTCCTTTTATCTTCTGTAATAGCTTGTGTGTTGAAAGTACATTTTTAATTAAATTGTTTGCATCTTGTATATGCACAATACATTTACTTTGAGGGCACTTTTATTACGGTAGGAGGGTGGTGATATGTAATAAGTCTCAAGAATAATTAAAACCTGTGTTAACTTGTGTATGTTTTCAGTAGTGATTGAACTTTGTGTAGAGTCTCTGCTGGGTCCAAGATCAGATTTTAATCTTATGCAGAAAGGAAGGAAGGGGTGACAAAGGAAGAAAGAGCTGGTTTTAGGTACCTCTGTAGGTTCTTACCAATTTAAGATAAACCTTGGCTGTCATCTTTATTTTAAACAGTGTATTGCCTCCAATTTTAGGTGTTTAGTTCAAGATGGTTTTTGTGTTCAGCACTTATTGAGGGAGAAACCTAGAAAGTGGGATAATGTTATGAATCAACTTTTGGACGTCCCTTCACCTCTGCTGTATGTGGATGTAGCCTCAGAGTTTTGTTCAACTTTGGTTTACACTGAAGTGAAAAAAGCTGAGTAACCTGAGAAGGCTTTAACTGCAAAGATTTAAATAACTGGGGATTTATAGGAGAGAATATGATAAATGGCTTTTCTGTTTTACTTCACGGAGGTAGAAATATATGTCAGAATCGGCAAGACGCATGACTTTGATCTTTCATTTCCTTTCTGCACTAAATGGTCATTAGGTTTTTTTGTCAATGCATTCTTTACAGTCTAGTTCTGGAAGGGCAGGAGAGGCTGGGTCTTCCAAGTCCCTTCCTACAAAAGGTGAAGGTGATTGATAATTCTTGAGCACCTGAAGAGGTGTCAGAAAAGTTGACTTGCTGAATCTGTGAAAATTCCAGTAACTACACTATCTTCTCTAAAACATTGTAATCGAGTGCTTTCCATTTGCGATGACGTACTAGTTTCAAAGATGGGATAAGAAAGGGCCTGATTCAAGGACGATGACCAGAGTCCGGTTGCATGAAATACTTTGGGAAAGCGTTAATTTGTCTTTCTCTGCTGAATAGTATAGTCTTACATTGGCTTGTAGATGCTTTGACTTTGCCAGAGACAGCAGGTGAATTAACATTAATCGCACTTGGCTTTGCCAAGGATTCAATGACGTCCTGCTCATACTCAAGTCAAGCTGAGGCATGTAACAGTGTTTTGAAATGGATAGTAGTTCTGAAGATGTCCCTTATATTAAACCAAATTCAGGAGCTGCACTGGAGGTTAACTGCTAGTTCAGTCTGGAGGAGTGTGTTTCATCTCTGGAAGAGATCCATTTGGGTTAAACTGGTAAATCAAGTAAAAGCTTATCTAATTAAAACCCCTTATTTAAATTTCAGAGCACCTGCACTACTTTTTCTTAGGTGAAGCAAGTTTTTACTATTTCATAAAATTATTGTTAGCAATATACTAGACCTGAGGGGGACAGACACACTTCCTTTTCAGGCTGCTAAGATTTTCCAGTGACTGTAAACTGTTTTCTTACAGGTTGTGTCAAATGCTGCTGGACAGGGGGTTGCCATCACTGGGAACAATACTTTCAACAACTGGAATTGGCCTAATGCTGTGATCTTTGCTGCTACTGTGATCACTACAATTGGTAAGTATTTATTATGTCTGCTTTCCTAACTAGTTTTATGTGTCCTCTGTATGTTTGCACACTTCCATTTATGTGTCAAGCTAGCCACGGAATAAAGTCCCCATGGCTGGAGTTGCCCAGTGTACGTGTTCACCTGCAGGTTCATAAATGGAAAAAAACCCCAACCAAACCCAGATTTTTGGCACTCTCTCCATAGATATAGAGAAAAGAAATGTATGCCTTTCCAATAAGTAATGGATTCAAAGTGCTGTTGGGGTTGACTGGTGTAATTTCAGTTACATTAATTAGTGTACTTAAATTTTGAAATCATAAAATCCTGAAACAAAATCGTTACAAAATATTCCATTAAGCTAATATTTAAAGTGCATATGAGGGCTTTGTATATATTTTATATCCTGTTACTCACGTGCATCCTCTTAAGCAAATGAATTATCAGTGCTCTTGGCTTGCAGAACAATCTAGACTTTTTATCTTATCTCTTAAAGAAGGCAAAGTAGAACAAGTGTTGTCTTCTCACTACTGATTTGTGCTTCTAAAACCCTGTGCACTGAAAGACTTCGTCTTCTGATATACAGATTTTCACAGCTCAACTTCACCTGCCTTCTACTTGCTTTTACAGAAAAATCTTTGCTACATGGTATTAATACACCCTTGCTACACCTACAATGCAAAAAAAACCCCCAAACCAAACAAACCCACAAATGCAGAATAATCTGAGAAGGCTGGCGGTATATAGCAATTGAAGTCTTGCTGTTAAACCATATGCAGTACTGTGGTTTTCCTTATTATTTGAAGCTCACATTACCCAGCTCTTCATATATCTTATTACAAAAATTTGAAGTCAGGAACACACCTAAATAAGAAAGCTCTGGCAGAAGATCAGAAAATAGGCTGCTGATTTTAGAGCCTGAATTTTTAATGCTTCGTTCCGTTCTGTGACCAGCAAAGAACTAAATTCAGTTATAATACCTTGCTGTGTCACAACTCACCTTGCACTTAACTCCCAAATTTACCCTGGAAAGGTACCAGGTCACAGGTTGAATGTGTATAGTGAATCTTACACTTGGAAGCTAGCCTCAGGATGAATTTTGAGCTTTTATTCTATAAAAGTGATTCAATCAAGTTTTTAACAGGGCTGCTTAAGGTTGCAGAATCATATTAGAAGTTTTGAGATGAGCTTTATTTCATATTTATCTCATCCTGTTGAGAAAAAGATGCACAAAATCTAGGAAACACGGTGTTAATGGAATACAGAGTAGAACTGGGAGTCATCCAGATTCAGAAGATCAGCAGCTGGAGTAGACTAAAACTCTTATTAGATGGTGAAGTAAGGAGTGTGATACAGCAGAAGCCCACGCAATGTTGCTTTGTGCATAGGTAGAATTGCCTTGAATTCTCTGCAACAAGAACAGACCATGCACATACTTATCTCTTTTAGGTTACGGAAATGTTTCTCCAAAGACACCCTCTGGGCGTCTCTTCTGCATATTTTATGGGCTCTTTGGAGTTCCTCTCTGTTTGACATGGATCAGTGCTCTGGGGAAGTTCTTTGGCGGACGTGCCAAGAGGCTGGGCCAGTTTCTGACAAAAAGAGGAGTAAGCCTGGTAAGTCCCTCTCTTGTTTACTCTCGTGCTGTGTGTTTTTGATGCATGAATTGAACTTATGCTTCTTACCTTAGCTGCTAGTCTTGGTAGTAAATGAACATTTGCACAGCTATGAATTTTCCCAATTGATGTTGCATAGAAATAACTGAAAGGAGGATTGGCTCTCATATGCTAGTTCTGCAAGAACTTTTAGCCAGATGAGATCTGGTAGAAAACTTTGATACTAAATATGCAGCTTCTATGGAGACATATGTATCTCCTCACATTAGAAACCTGTAGGACAAATGCAGGTGAGGCTCTAGTTCAAAGACATTCTATGTGCAAGATCCTCTGGCACAGAAATAAGCAGTCCTGCTTTGTTCCCACTTGCTTCTATGGTAGCATGAGTACTTCCTGCTCTGCAGTGAACCAACTGGAAAATGTTTTGTTCAGAGTTACTGGATTGTGGGGTTTTATGTTTGAGGCTCTTTTTTTTTTTTTGGTGGTGGTTTGGTTCCCCACCCCAAGAGAATTCTAGCTTAGTTTTCACTCAGCACAGAGATGGGAGGCAATGCAGGGCCATAGTGCCTGGAGGACTGATTTAGGCCCTGGTTTCAGATACAGAGCAAGGACTTTGTTGGTTCAGCACCTGAGAAGAAAGTACAGAAAATGATGGTGAAATGCATGTGTGTGTGCAGCTTTGTGCAGAGGTTATGTCAGTGGCGAAGGGTAGGAGGTATAAAGAGGAGAGAAGTATCTTAAACACTTCTGATCCTTTATACTCCACGAACAAAAGGAAAATCAGAGCTACTGACTGCATTTCAGACTAGAGTGGTATGTCTGTATCCTGCCTGTTTATAAAATATTGGGAACTCCTTAAACTTTTTTTGAGAGTGTGAAGGAAAATTGAGGATATAATCCTGTTTGAGCAAGTAGTTGTAAGAATAGCGAGTTCTGCATAAATGAAAAAAAAGTAGTGGTGCATTTACTTGAGTCAGTTGACTTCTAGTTATAGATAAACTGTTAGCACAAAACTCTGAAATGTTTGATACTGTCAGATGATACTTGATGCTATGGATAGGAAAATAAAATTTGAGATCTTTCCGTGACTCTTTTTTTGTTCTTTCTTTACAGAGGAAAGCACAAATTACGTGCACAGCTATTTTCATTGTTTGGGGTGTCTTGGTCCATCTGGTTATTCCCCCCTTTGTCTTTATGGTGACTGAAGGATGGGATTACATTGAAGGCCTCTATTTCTCATTCATCACTATCACCACCATAGGATTTGGAGATTTTGTTGCAGGTCAGTAATTGTATTCTTTTACTGTGTGCATAGAGTGGGCAGTTCTGTTTCCAGACTCTAATTTGAAAAGGTGTTTTCTAAGCTTTTCCAAAACATTTTGCTGAATAGAAGGTTCAATGAAAGCTGGGCACTGATTCAGTGGACTAGATCTGTTTCTTCAGTCTTGGTTCAGCTACCTAAGGCCTTTATTGGACTCAGTCTGGTGCCAAGTTCTGGAGTTTGTAACTCTTTCAGATATCCCAGGTTCCTTTTTCAGGCAAGGAGCTATCCTGTCCCCTATAACAGTTAAGCATTTCTGAATGGGATCCAGTATACTAAGCAGGATACATAAGTACTGGGCAGCGCTCTCTGTGCAGCTGTCTAGAAGTAGTCAACAGGAAATGCTGAGCATACTGGTGCCTCCCTCCTAAATCCTGTCTTTCTCTAAAATCCACTGCTTTGTTCAGGGCTTTGGAGATGGTCCTTGTAAATGGATTTCTGAATCCTTTTCTCAAGGAAAGTACCTATATCCATACCTCCATGGCAGCAAGAAGGTTTATAATTTTCAAACAGGAAGAAAGTTCATTTTCATAGCTTACGAGGAGATGATAAATATGCTGCCATTTTATGCTGTAGTCAGAATACTTGCAGCCAAGAAGTGGAAGACCTGGGATCAACTTTTTCTGTCAAAAGGGTTTTAGTTCCCCACTTAGTATCTCTCAGAGCAGTGTTCAAACAACTGGGCTGTTTATTGTGGAAAGGAGTAGTTTTCAGGATCGTAACTTCAAAGGTTTATCAGCTGTGAGTCCTCTTTCAGTAATACTCTTGTTTTTAATTCTTTGTAGGTGTAAATCCAGATGCAAACTATCATGCCCTTTACAGATATTTTGTGGAGTTATGGATCTATTTGGGACTAGCTTGGCTTTCACTCTTTGTTAACTGGAAGGTCAGTATGTTTGTGGAAGTCCACAAAGCAATCAAGAAACGGAGGAAAAAAAGAAAAGAGTCATTTGACAGCCATCCTCGGTCCAAAAAACCCCTTCAAATGGGTACCTCAAAGGATGTCAACATTTTCAGCTTCCTTTCGAAGAAGGAAGAGACCTACAATGATCTTATCAAGCAAATTGGGAAGAAGGCCCTGAAGACAAACAATGACAAAATTATTAAAGTAGAAAATGTCAAACAAAATATGCAGAATGCCAGTACAGATGCCCAGGTGACTTACACGAAGACAGAGTCATTTGAGTACGATGAGGCTTCTCTGGACATTCAAAATGGTCATGTGCTGAGGCCCATGCATGATAAACGTATTGGAGACAGCCCTCTAGAAGGAACTATGTTCATAAACCAGCTAGACAGGATTAGTGAAGAAGAAGGTGAAGTGTGGGATTCCAGAGACTATCGACCCTTAATATTTGAGAATGCCAATATAACATTTGTAAACGAAGAGGATGATGAAGAGGATGATATCTCAGATGATGAGGAAACATCAAAATCTTCCATGGATGATAATCTTGCAGAGGAATCTGAAACTGCAAAAAAACTTGTAAAATTCTCATCCTCTGATGAATCTACCTTTACCAATAACGAGCTAGAACTTTCTGTGCCTTATGAACAACTGATGAATGAATATAATACAGTAAGCAATGTGAAGGCTGCAACATGAAGCATGTTTGACAATGGTTTTCTGAAAGTGGTTAGTGCATATTGAACAAATTTATGGAGCAAGGAGAAAAGCATGTTTTTTGCAGTTTCTCCTGTCTCTTTGAAAACAAAAGCAAGTCCCAAACTAATAAACTCCAGTGTCCTTTTCCCATCCTAAGTTAGTTTCTGAGCCCATCAGCTTTGCTTATCTGAAAAACTTGTAAAATAACAGTTTAATTTGGAGTCCTGCTCCTTCTTGGGATTTTATGGTTCTTGGACAAAGTAAAAAGAAAAGACTAGTTAATTCACTGGACCTGCTCTGTGTTTATGCATTTCATTGAGGAATTAGTTTGGGAATGTAACTATACTGTTGCAAAGAGGCTGTTTTGGGCATCAAATATGTTCGGTTACTCCATTAGCCTTTCACCTCTGAAAACCTGTATTGGAATCCTGCTTTGAACACAAATGAAAGAAAGGGGTTTGCTTTTTTTGTTATTGTTTGTTGTTTCCCATTGTTGAGTTGTTACCAGCAAAAAAAATGGTGCAACCACTAGTTCTACTTAATGAGAAAATTCAGGTTGAATATGAGGACACAGATCTGAGCAGAGATGTGCTAGCAGACTGAGGAGGAAGTTTCTGAAACATCTGTCTAGAATATGTCAGTGCTTGTGAAATTATAGTGAGTTGTCATTTCATAAATAAAATACTAAAATTAAAAATTCCAAAGGAATGGATTGAGCAGGAGCCCTCTAACAAGGAAGAATCATCTGGGACGAAGCTCACCAGTTGGGCTGCTAAACTGCACGTCAGCCCCAGAACTGTTAAAGAGTGAAGTGACTGGAAGACCAATTGATCAAAGCATGTATGAGCACAAGCAGGATGCAATGAACACTTTTAATATTGAAAGTGCCCTTCCACTGTCCATTTCCTAGAGGAAATACTTGAATGAACCTTATACAATATCTATGTACAGGTGAAGTTTTATTGACACTGTCCTTCTGAGGAAAAAAAAGTCACCTTGGGAGGCACGGATATTCTCCAAATACCCTAATGCCTGACAGGAGGGACATGTAGCACTGCTGCTGATCTGTGCAGTGTGTTAGTCAGTATTGTTGTTTGATGTTCCTCCCTGCCTTGGTACTTTAAACTAGACTTGAATGAGAGATGATTTTTGAAACAGTTGATTACACTTTGCTTATTTGTTTTGTTTTCAAGTTTGACCTATGTGCATGTACAATGGTTATTCTATTTGACTTTCAAGAAGGCTGGGTATTGTCAAATCTTGGGCAAACTGAGATGTGGTCAAGTGACTTAAGGCTGTAAGGCACTTTTAAAAAGGACCTTTGCCTCTGAGCTCCTGAAAGTATTATCTTTTGGCTTGGAGATGGGCTTCTCATTGAGAAGGAAGTATGCCTCTTCATAACATTTACGTCCAAATTGTTTTGGCTACAAAGAAAATTATACCATGGTTTTATTTTTCTTTCTTTTCCCATATCTATCTGTTAACCCTGACAACTCTTTCAAATGAGGCTTTTGATTACATGTTGGCAAAAGGTACTGACTTCAGTTGTATCCAGTATACTTGGAAGAGAAAATAGCCAAGACCTTTGAATTTTAGCATGCCAAGTTCTGTTGTTCTGTTTAGTTTTACAGTATTTAACCCATTCCAGTGTGTCCAAAAGTTTCCAAAGTTCAGTGAACAGTTAAAAGTGGTATTGTTCTCATTTTCAGTGTAATGTTGGCAGATTCACTAGCTCTGTAAGAAGAGCTTATGGAATCTTGCAATGCTAATCTTGAATTACTAGCTATTTCTAATAACTGCAAATATTGGCTGCAGCTTCAGTGCTAGTCTTTTCCACAGAAGGAGGACATATGGGAAACTGGCACTCTGGTTGGATAGCCCATTGATGTGGAAGTTTTGAAGTCATCTACTGTGAAACAGGGGTCTGTCTTTACTAGTCTGGGTTTTTTTTCAGAATTTTCCGTGTACATGACATTTTTTTCAAATAGAAAATGAACACAAGGCCAACTCTGTTATACTGTCAAAAATGTGGAAACAACATAATTGGATTTGGTAGTTAATCGGTATTTTATGATGATATCGCTGATGTGAGATTCTAATTTGAAATCAAATTTTTTTATATATTACTGCTATTTGGAGCAGGGGTGGCTGGATGAATTTGACTTGTATCTGACAGGAAAGAGGGAGAGGCCCTATCAAGAAGATTCTGATTTAATTCTAATAGAGATCCAGTATCCATTGCTTTAAAATGACTCCAAGTCCTTCAAGTATTTCTGTATGTCTGAAAGGTTGTGGTACAACTGTACCTTGTAACTGTAAGAAATGGTAGGTAAGACTAGATGCTTGTTACACAGGATGCTTGTGTAGTGCTTGTGTAGCAAATCTAGACTTCGCTCTCTTTTTTGTTGTTGTTTGATTAAGAGCACATTAATTTAAAAGAAAATAAGAAAGCACTCCATATAGCTTTTGTTGTCCTCCAACTTGTCTTCCATTATTGATGCAAAGATTAAAGTTTTAGTGATAGTTAGAAAGCAGAGATGAGTCTTGCTGAAAGTGCATGGAATGGAAATGCATAATCAAACATTCATTTATAAAAAAGAAAAAAATCCTCTTTAATACAGAAATAATACAACCCAGACACTTGGCTGGGCTGCTTTGACTGGGAGGGGATGTTGCACACTGAAACCCAGACTCTCCGTTCTCCATAGCAAAGTGCACTTGTACGCCAGAGCTGCAAATGGATGGGATCTGTTTCATATTATCAATTTAGATGTGGCTCTATGGCTTTTCCCAGTGTAGTCAGGATAGGCTGTAAGTCTGCATAATAAGTATCATGGGATTTAAAGTAATAGTTGAGATTTATTAAAACAAAGTACAATATTCCCACTTTTTTGGGAAACATGATCACACCTCACAAAACTGTTCTCAAGACATCCCACCATGTGCCTTAATGTAATCCTAACACTGGGAAAAAATTCCTCTTTACACAGGGGCCAGCACAATTGGTCTCGTTAAGCCCTACTTGTTTTCAGTGTTTTGGAGGGGTTTAGTTGGCACATAGCTTTCATACTGGCACTCTCCAAAAAGTTGAACCATTTCCCAGGGTTTTTAAAATTACGGTGCCATCACAGAACTGCCAAAGTGCTGAAAAAGACAGTGCTTTGCCTGTCTGTCTTCCACATCTTGAGAAAAGCAGCTGCCTGGGGGATCTAAATTATGTCTTTCTGCCTTCAGTTTTACATGGAAGTGAGTTAGAGGGATGTCCAGGCTGGATTTTGAACTATTCAGCCCCAAAAGTGCCTCAGAGTGAATTACCCAGTGATACTTGGTAAGGTCTTGTAGTTATTTCAATTATCTGGTCAATCTGGAAACATTTTCTTTGTTGCCAGGTAAGATTTTATTTGGCTAACCAATAACGTTAAAAGCTCTCTTAATGTTATGATATCGGTTTTATAGGTGAGACAGATCTCTTCCTGGAAAGACAGGAAAGGGGATTCTTAAAACAGAAGAAGGAAAAGCTTAAATGCACATATAAGGAAAGCATGGAATAGAAGTAGAAACTCTTCTTTCTAGCTATTGACTACAAGTAGATTGTATTTCTGGTCACATCATGTGAAGCATGGGTCCACTTTCACAATATAAACTTAGGAATTTTCCCAAAGTGAGCCAATACTTTAAAAAAATTTTTAAAAAATCCTGAAATGTGACAAGAGTTTATTCCTACAAAAGCCCTTTTAAGTTCTATAGACTATGTGACCCTATCCTTCATAATGTCAATGTGACACATCTTGGTTTTGTCTTGGGCTGTTGAAGCTTATTTTGACAAGAATGGCATCATTTTCAGATGCATATCTCACAGCAGGCAGTCTAACACATCTGATACACTGGTACGAAATCACTGAGGAAAATACAATAAGCGGTGTGTTAAATTTTTCTCAACTGATGTTTTGTGAATCTGTTGCTGGCAGTGGATGTCACAAAACATGCAGAAATAAAACCATAGACTGGTAACAGATCCATGGTGACAGTTGTATATGTTGAGATTATTTTTTTTCTCCAGTTGATCTGGGAGAGTATGTATAGAGACAGACAAGCGTCAGTGATGAGGAGAGCAAAAAGCAATATACAAGTCTGTTGACATAAACAAAAAAAACTCAAGAACTCTATTGTAGACTTGTAATTTTTGTGCCTCGTGGGATTCATTCCATTTGTGATGGATTTACTTTTTTAAAAATCAGCTTGTGTTTCATATGGCTTTTGAAGTTTGTACAGTTCTGAGTCTTATCACTCCATAATATGCCTGTCTGTTCTTTGTTGCTGATTGTCACTGGAATCACACTGTATGTAAATATTTGCTAAGTCTTTGTAAAATATAATTTATTTTAATATTTTGCAATAAAAATTTACAATTTATCCTCTCTGTCTTGAGAAGAATGAGAATCAAGAAATTAGATTTCTTTTTACAACTCCCAGTGCTTGCAATGCACCTCACAGATGAGACTGGTCCTGATCCAAAGAGCTCAAAGGTAGGGAGCCAATAAAGCAAGTTGTTTCATGTAAGCAGATGCCTGTACTTGTATGGGGTATTGATGACTTCAGTTCGACGGCATCTGGTTTTCAATTAGACACAGTGTAGCAAAGCATTATTCAATGAGGATTTTGGACAGCTGTTGAAAGATAAACAAAAGTTTATTCAGAGGGCTGCATTTTTTTCAGGGGGCTGTTTTTAAATAAGATGCACAGAGTCAGGAAATGTCAGAAATGATCAGTACTACAATAAAATAAAACTGGCATTTATGACTGCTATATGAATCTTATGCCAGAGCTATTAAAATATCTGAGTAGCTGTTTATCAGTTTTCACAAGATTTCTAGCAGCAGTGCTTACCATTTTGCAGGCTAGAAGTATTTGCAGTCCTGCAACTCCAGCAGTTTCCTTAAAACACCTTGGAAAGTAGGTAACTACCTATCTTAATGGGAAGCAAAATTTGACTTGGTGAT